TGATACCAAACTGAGTGGTACAGCAGAGACAACTGGAAGAAGAGATGTCGTCCAGATGGACATGGGTAGCTTGAGAAGTGCACCCACATGAATCCAGCGATGTTCAGCAGGGCCAAGAATGCCCCATCCTTGGAGGTATTCATGGCCACATTTTTAATAAACCATGGATCCTGGGCAGCCTGTCTGGCAATCCATCTAAATTATAAGGGGTGTGGAGCTAGAAGTTATCTCAGGTCCCTTGCAGCTCAGTTCATTCTGTGATTCTGATATTCTCTGATTATTCTGAAGTGCTGACTCTCCTATGCAGAATGTTATTGCTCTGGTACTGATGAAGCTGAAACAGACTGACACCACTGAGAACTGCTATCTGTTTTTTGCATTCCTATCACATATTCAGACAGCACTGCTATGTCATCTACAATCTTTTTCACTTGCTTTGCTTCATTCCTATCTGGTGCCCTTATTAGAGTTTTCAATTGATTTCTGCTACTGCGTCACGCAGTCAATTGTAACACTATGCAGTGCAAGGTTTAAGGGGGAAAAAAAAAGCTGCTGCGGCTGCTACATGGTTTGCCTGTAAGTTGTTCAGGATTCCCTGCTGTTTGTTTTCATATAAGGATCAACACAGTTCACAGCAAAGTTGCTGTGATAGGATTACTATGGAGATTTCTTTCTGTTTCTCTTGCCCAACCTTCCTCAAAGAATGAGAAAGTTTATTATTACACTGTTTTTAGTAATTATCACTGCTCTGCATTATGTCAAGTATATCAGACAGGAGAGGTCTCTCTTCAATTATGTATTTCCAGTAGCACCATCTAACAAATTAACAACCTCATCACATAAGACAATTGAGTAGTTCAGCACATTTCTTTATTGTAGCAAGTTGTATTGTCTCTTGCTTTTCACCTGAAGAGTCTACTATTTCAGTGGAGGAAGTGAAATATTAAAATTCGTAATTTACAGTAATAAGATGAGGATCAGAGAGCGTTGTAACTGCCCTTAGAATGCCTCTTCCAACCTGAAAACTATATTAATTGCAAAACTTATTTCTGTTCATGAGAACAGCCCCTTTTCCTTAGTGGTGCCATGAACAGAAAGCCAAATTCCTGGCATAAATTAGTTAGAATTTGTAAAACATCTTAATTCTCCTCTTTTTAAAAGTAGTTTTATAAAGAAAGGTATTAGGATCACTGCTGATGTATTTGTAGTTGAGTTAGTTTGTTATGATGACTGTTAGGAGGCATGGGTGGGTTACACATGTGTAATCTGACTTCTGTGACAAACTGCTTGAAGATGATGACTGAATAAATATTTTTGAAAATGAGCAAAGTGCATTTACTTACCCTTTAAATTCACTTATAGAATTGGCACCAGTTCTCCTTTTTTGTTTATTTTCCTCATTCTGCCATATTGAGAAGTGGCCCATGCTGATGGTATCTGACAACACCTCCATCCCCCTCTGTTCTGAAAACACGCTACAGCTTGTCTCTTTTGAGTTGTTCAGATGTATTGTATTCAAATATCACTTTTGCTAAACCTATATACTGGCAGCACATAAGATTAATGCAGTGAATAATAAGGAGTACTTAGAATGAAATCACTAAAACTGAACAGGAGTATTAAAAAGAGGCAGAAACAGAAAAAAAAAAAAAAAAAAAAAAAAAAAAAAAACAGAGTTTACAATTGGTTTATCTCCTTACTGGACCCTTAGCACTAGATCCCATTGTCTGCGGGAAAAATAAGGAAAGAAGACCTGCAGGTTTTTCTCAATTGCACTACGTGTCCCTGCAGATATGCAGTACATTTATTGATTGTCTGTCTGAAAACTTGACTTGAAGGTATCCAGCTCTGTTTTTGCTTTTCAGTGCCGGACTTGTCAGTCCAGTATATTTTTGTTTCTAAGGGCTGGAAGATGCATTTTGCTATCTATTATTCCCGCACAGAAACCAACCACATCAGTGGGCAGACCTGATGGACATTCAAAGCATGTTGTTTTTCTGGCAGAATACCACAGCTAGCCATGTGGACTGTGGGCTGAAGAAGATATCCCTAAAGGAAACCAGATACTAACCTGCTACAAGCATTATCATTTGACACTGGAGTGAGGTGATGTTGGGGTAGAAAGTATTTTTCTACTAGGAAAATCAAAAAGAATGAGTTTCTAAAATTGTACTGGGACATCTTTTTGACTTGTGGCGGCTAGATTTCTATAGCATTGAACATAACACAACTATCTGTTTGCATACACAAGATGATGACAAGATGCCCCACAGTGCCTGGCAGGGTTTTGCTAATAAGGTTTTAAGCCCATTCCTCTTACAACAGAAAACACAGCAGAAATTTTCAACTGTACAACTCTTTTTCTCCGTTTCCCTTCTGGTCACATACATCCAAGCTTCTGTTGCTGTAAAACCTGTTGTGCTTTTCAGTTCTCATGTAAGAAGTGGCCTGTTTAACCAGACTGTTCTTGCTGTATACTTTTTTTCCCAGAAATGTTCTGATTTAGTATCTGTTCTTACACATGCAGAAGAAGGAGAACAACTGTGCTGTAAAAAAAGGACAATTACCAGTTGAAAGGAGA